ATTTTGCAGGCAAGTCCCAAATAACATAACGAAGCTGTTCCAACTCTCGGAATCGCATTCCGAACCCGATTCAAAAAGTCAACCCCCGGGTCAAACTTCCCAAAAATTCAACTTTCGCCATTGTAAGCCTAAATTGGCTACAAACCTCAGATTCACAGTCCGGACACGCTCCTAAGTCCAAAATCACCCAACGGAGCTAACGGAACCGTTGGAACTCCATTCCGGAGTCGTCTTCACACAGTTCCGACTACGGTCAAAATCCTAAAACTTAAGCTTCCGTCTTAGGGACTAAGTGTCCCAAATCACTCCGAATCATCCGTAAATCAAACTCTACCACACACGCGGGTCATAATACATATTGCGAGGCTGTTCGAAACCTTAAGTTACTGAACGGGGCGTAAATTCTTAAAACGACAAGTCGGGTCGTTACATGCATAGTGAAAATTGAATGGTACTTTGCTAAAGAATGTTACAAGATTAAAATTGATTAGCTGCCAGTTGCCCAAGAGTCATCATCTACCACTACAACATTTTCTTTAAAATTCTTTTAAGCTGAATTTTCCCCAAAAGGGTATAGGAGGAGGGAGGAAAAAGCCATTCCTATTGTTATTAGGTTGTTGGAATATACAGTTTACCTGCTTTGAATAGAATCTACCATTGTTGTGTCTTGCTGAATAGGACTGAACCTGTAATTAATAATCAAGTCCTTTTGAACTGCATCATTGTTCTGATCAGCACTACAGGTCATCTTGGTTAAACTGAACAAATGTTTCTGCAACAGCTATACAGAATCAGACCCAGTCAAAATAGCTGTGGACGGTGTAGAGACATTTAAGAAGGAAAATTGTGATTTAATAATTGTGGATACCAGTGGGCGCCACAAACAAGAAGCAGCTCTTTTTGAAGAGATGCGACAAGTTTCTGAAGCAACGGTATGTTTTACTCTGCTCTATTTTTTTTTCCCTTTAATTAGATGCTCATCTTATCGTTTTCCCCAGAAACCGGATCTCGTGATATTTGTTATGGATAGTAGCATCGGACAAGCTGCTTTTGATCAAGCTCAAGCATTTAGGCAAAGTGTTGCAGTTGGAGCCGTGATTATTACTAAGATGGATGGCCATGCAAAAGGAGGTGGTGCCCTAAGTGCGTAAGTATTTAATGACTTGGATGTAGCCTTAAAGTTTTTTCTTCTTATAGTTCTGGGTACTCTGCCAAATATGGAACATATGTTAAGCTCATGATGTCAGTTCTTTAAGATTAGAAACTTCACCTATGGTAGCTCAAAGTTGCAGGCTGCTGGAACTGTTGTTGTTGTTGCTGTTGTTTTGGGAGTGATAGAGGCTGTTAATTTGCTTCTTTCTGGTTAAGAGGGAATCTCTTTCTGGTTACCAGTTCAAAATACTCTAGTAACATAAAGATACTCTGCAGAAAATGATTATTCTTTATCCAACAAGATGTAGAAATTGATGCTGAACAATTGATGCGAAATTGTAACCTTGAAAAATTGAACTACTGCTTAAGCCTTGAAATTTCAACACACGATTTGGCTTGTACATCGGCATTAAAGTTGCTTTATGGTTCAAAAAGCAGCAAAATTGCAACTTTTACTGCATCATGGAAAAAAAAAACTTTACTGCCTCTGTAGCAGATATATGCATCTTTTGTTTACACGAATTTTTCTTTATATTGGTGGTGTCTGGGTCAAGTTTGCGGTCTTGCGGGCACCTCGACTAATCCACTAGACAGCCTGTGCAGCCCACAGGCACAAGTTACCGTGGTAATCTTGCTCACCAAGGCAGGAGCAAATGGGCTCACATCTAGTGCTGTAACTGGGATACAGAACTTGGGATATCCAGGTTGTCACTCTGTGCCACAACCACTAGGACATATCCCCTTGGGGGCTTCACAAGGATTGGTTATTGATATTCTCAAATTATAAGTAGGATCAAGTTGTCTCCAAATGTTCTGGTGAATTTTTATGACCTGTTTCTTTTGATTTATATATTTGCTCTTTTGCTCTTTCCATATGCAGAGTTGCTGCAACTAAAAGTCCGGTCATATTTATTGGAACTGGTGAACACATGGACGAGTTCGAAACTTTTGATGTTAAACCATTTGTCAGCCGTCTCTTAGGTTTGCATCTCTTCTGTTGATATTTTCAACTTTGCTTGAACTATGTTCCTCTTTCCACTGCCATTGACTTTGTTCTCCTGAAATACCAGGCATGGGTGACTTGTCTGGATTGGTGAACAAGATACAAGACGTGGTCCCAATGGATCAACAGCCTGAGCTTCTTCAGAAGTTATCAGAAGGACATTTTACCTTCAGGATTATGTACGAGCAATTTCAGAACATGCTTAAAATGGGTCCTCTTGGCCAGGTTTGCTGCTCATATACATTAATCTGATCCCCCCGCGCATCCTCTCCCTCCCTCTCTCTCTTCTCTTTTGAAACTTGGCAAATTTTTCTGAATGTTATACCATTCGTGACACAAATCTAGAACTAATATTTTTGGTTTTCTGGCTTTTTCTGGAACAAACAGTTTTGGTGTTAGGTTGTAAAACCTACATGAAAATACAAGTTGGTATTAGAAATCAGTGATTTCAGTCTTCTTTTTGATTTTCAGCCTTCTTTTTGTTCATTGAGGTAAGAGGTTGATACGTTTCTAGGCCAATTTTATTACTTAATGCTTTTTGAACCTTATGGGCAAACAGTCCCTCCCCCCTCCAACTGCTCCCACCTTGCTTTTTCTTTTTCTCTTTCCCTTTGTTAGTATCGTACGGCCAGAGAGTTGGTTTTTTCTTTCTTCCTTTCTTTTCTTTCTCCCTTCCTTTACCCTCCCTTTTTTTCTCTGTTTTGTTTTTTAAGTTTTTCAATGGCAAATTTAGTTGCAAATGGAGATGATTTCCTAATATTTCTGGGATTTCTAACCATACGAAGTTGGTTTCGATGGTTTAGGGATTTAGTAATATCATTTCAGAAGTTCATATCTGGAAATACTACTCTTTTTTTTTCAATATTAAATCTAAACACACAGTTGTTTTCGATAGCCAAACCTAAAATCATTTGTTTCCAAAACAAATTCCCAAACCATACCAAAAGAAGAATTTTGGTTTGGAGAATTTTCATTATTTACAGTACGGTTGGGAAAAACAGCTTTCCTATAGTATATCACAAAAGCTTAGAAGGTCTTTTTTTTTTCATTGTTCTTCTAGAAAATCTCTTAGGCTTGTTTCCATTTGTCCTTGTTCTTCTGTTTTAGAAACCTATAAATACTGATCTATTAACTTGAGCAAGTCGAAGATCATTTGGAGCCTCCAAGTTGATTTAAGCTCTATTTGGAGCCTGCTAGTTGATTGGTAGATTATGAATCCTTCCAAGAATTTAAATTTGTCAGTAGGCAAGTTATTGTTTACACGCAAACCTTTTCATAATATTGATTTTAATTTCCTATATTGCTATCCATTGCAAAAACCGTAGGGATTTTAAATGGCAAAAG